CTGATCATCTAAACCCACCTTCCCCCCAGCGAATACCACCGTGGCTCCTTTCTCCGACGGTCAAGTCAAGCTTTCTCGCCTTACTACCGCCATTTTATCACATATTTCACCATGGTTTCTACTACTACTTTCGTTTCTGTCGACATGTCTACCGCACCCGATACTCCGCCAGCTCCCACGACCGCCGCCTTCAAGTTGTCCGGGGTGTCGCTTAACGGCGTATCCCCGGCTTCGCTGGCCGACCTCCTGGATCTGGGTAAAGCGCGCGACGGTACCGATGGTGAAGACCTATCCGCGCCGGCCCAACAAGCATTTGCGGGACGTACGCAATTTGAGAATGATGTTGCGTACTTTAAGGCTCTCCTCGCCACCCGCCTGCGCATGCGATTGGCCCACCAAGCCAATCTGCAATCCTTGCGCGACCTTCGCAAGAAGAACGGTACTCTTATTCGAAAGCGCCAGCAAGGTGAGAAAGCGCGCCGCGCCGCAAAGACGACCAAACGCTCTCCCACCGGAACGAGTCTCCGTCCCCCCGTCCGCAAGGCAGATACTAATTGCGAATCGAGCGTGGCTACGACTACTATTCTGTCGAGTGCGGTCACTATCGACGCTGGTGCTCATGTTCCGGATTTCTGGCAGACCTGCTCATCTCCAGTCTCCACTGAAGGTGTTGATGATCATCAGCACATCAAGGCGAGTGGGAATGGTTTATCCTTCGGACGTGCTGGCGCTGCGGCTCGCAACGCCTAGCCAGAGTTTGTCCAGAATGAATCGCCTTTCCACAGGACTTAACGTGCTGCCGTTCTTGCGCCGCATGGCGCTTTGGCAGAGCGTCATATCGTCCGGACGGGGAGAGGCATTAGCAGTGTCGTGGCAGGGCATATTGAATACTCTCGCGCGGTGTCAAAGCGCGGGTTTTATGTTTAAGTTGATGTTAATGATGCTCTTTGTGTTGATGATGCTTGTGGAGTTTTCTGTTGGCTTGCGTTTTGCTACCGCTATTGTTGATCCTTATGTCTCGCTGGGTGTTTTACTGGCGCATTACGTATGGGCGTTGAAATTACGTCGCACGTATGCGCGCGGGAAGCCTTTTTTGATCCTCGGATCAAGAGAGGCTTTCAATGGTATCCAAGTACCATCGGAGCACCATTGGACTACCTGTTCTTGCCTGTTCTTCCTCTTCACTCCATACGTCTCTTCGAGGTCTTCCCTACTACTGTTTCTTTGCGACGTAAACAACAGATTGCTTTTGTCTTTGCTTAAGTAGACAGACGTATCTGTAGTGTAGGTTCGCCGGGCGCTGCGGGTTTTGTTAATCATTGGCTCACGAAATCATGTGGTGAACATAGCAGAAGCGACGGGACGTGGGAACCAAGGTTTGGGAGCAGCGATATCAGAAACTGTTTTAGGCATCTTGGACAGGCGGAAGAGATTATTTTTGAGTATATGATGCCCTGAATTGTGCGCTACTAGAGCTCAGCCATCAAGAGGGGATGAAGATTTTGAACTGCAGCTACTGCAGTACGGCATCACAAGTGCTAAGGAGACCTATATTGTGCGCTATGCGCCTTGTACCGTACACAGTCGATTCTACTGTATTAGTGCCCAAACGATTTATCTATACCTGGTTCTCCATACAACCTTACTAGCCGAGCTGTACACGCCGTGTTCCCGTTGTCCCAACAGTTGCAATCGTCATCGAAAGAAGGTGGGGGGCACACTCGTTGCTTTCTGCATCTGGAGGCACCAGTTCCCCCTCTCAGCGGCAAAGGCCCAACGCGACAACATTGCGCTGCCTTCACACACCAGGGCGTACGTTTGCGTCGCGATATCCAAGCAGTGCATCAAAAGACGGACAGCAAAGCCGTATTGGCGGGAGCGGTCCACTTGCGTGGTCCGATGAGCCCCGGCGCTGCGTCGTCGCACTCCGCTCACGCACATGAACGGCGTGTGTCGAAAGGCGAGCGGGCGGTTTTATATGTTTGCCAATCGCCCAATCAAAGTCCGTCCCTCAGATGTCTGGGCCTGTTCCCCAGCCATCGTCCTCTCGCTGAGGTCTGCAGAGCCGGAGGCTTTGCAACTCCCGCGGCCGTGTTATGGCTGTGTGGGAGGGTGCTTTCGCATCTGTGTGCTACAGGGTCTTGAGAGAGGAGGAGGGGATTTAAGGCGCTGGACTGTTCTCTTGTAGGAAAATGCCTTAGGGTGAAGGGCGGATGTATTGCGAGGTGGCCCGTTTGGGGGAGGACAACATGGCAGTTCTAGTGGAGCAACTCGCCCCCCATCTCTCCGCTTCGGCCGACTCGCCGCCCATTCGTGATGAGCTTACATACACACACTGGTTGGCTATCTCACAGAATGTCTCCACATGCGTGCGGGGCTTGTCTTGAGGCGGATGCGGGATTCACGATGGAGTGGAAGTTGGGAGGAAGGCCTGGGGATGAGCGGCAACGCGTAGAATTCATTCACGCCAATGAGACGTGGTATCGACAGAGAAGTGTACCACTCATGTCGTGTAGGCTAGCCCTTGCTGCCGCTTTTTTTGGGCAACGCGGAGCTGCCTGCATACACGGGGAGATCGCGTTGAATTTGAGCGCGGGTTGTGCCAATCAGAGAGCGGCGCTTGGAGCGGGGGCCGGTGATGGAAGGACACTTGTTTATGGTTGGCGGGATTATTTCGTCCGGCGCTGCGCAGCTGCGCAGCTTCGGCAACCGCCGGCTTGCGAAAGCCGATGATGGCCGCTTCGAGACAGCCTACTTCGCACATTGTGGTGCGCTGGTTGGCCGCTGTTGTGTACGTAGAGGCAAAAAAACGTCCGGTGACTGGCAAGCCGCCGGACGGCACGCAGTGTCGCCGAGAGGCCCGTGTATAGATGCCGTAGTATGCCTAGGCGTTTCAAATCTTTCAGGGCTCGTCGAAAACGGCACCCGTTTACCCGGTGGGGTGAACGCATAAGAAAAGGTAAGGCTTGTCTTGCATAGGAAAGCGACGAGGTTGCGAAGGGCTTTTCCGTTGTGAGTTCACGCATACCGTGTATGCCTTGGATCACGTGAGATGGCTGCGGGATCTTATCCTACGCCCCGCGAGCTTGTGTCGCCATGGAGGTGTCTGTTGTGTTGTAAAAGGGGACAGTGGTTTTTTTTTCTGAGGAAGCGTGAGTGAGTCCTCCTTTCAGATCACGACGACCCCCTCACCTTCAACGCTTTTATTGTGCCCTAAGTCCTTCTAGAAGCGTCCCCTCGTCCGGCATGGATTTCCCAGACCGTCTGCGACCGCTCCCCTAAAAATCATATAAAATCTTCCATTACTGTAAAATGTAAATCTACACTGGGTCCTTCACACGACCCAGAATACTTTCACGCTATCCGTAGGGGTATATTTTCTGACCGCTGAAAGTAGCAACCATTATTTTAGATACAGAAGTCATCTACTAATGCATAAGAACAAGAAAGCTTCTGAGTCGGTCTCTCCGCCGGATCAAGACGAAGTTCTCAACTTTGGATTAGACGTCTTTGCTCTACCGAGCAGTATATTCACTGAAGATCAGCTTAAGCTGCTGAGAGACAAGACCTTGGCTGACATTGAATCGCGCAGGAAAGAAGAGAAGTTACCACAGAGTTTTGAGAAGGGGGCAACGAACAACGGCAAGCATAAGATTGGATTAAGGCAGTAGCCGCAGGTTGGAGTGAGAAAAGGAAGAAAGAGGCAATATCTGAACTCGAATACTCTTCCTCAGAAAAAGAAACCGACGATCCCATTTGACGAAACAACAGTGTCGATTGTCCATGTCGAAAGACTTGAATTCGAAACCGGACTCCTTTGCTTGCGTTTTGTAAAATCTCGTTCAGGCAGAATCAATCACACAAGCGAGTGCAAAGAAATTGACTGGAAACGTTTACACGTGTGAGATCCCATAAATCCTTTCGCCGCCATGAACTATGAATGCGAGCGGCAACTGGCAATCCTGACCTCGCCCTCAGCACAATAGCAGAGTTAGTCCTCGCCAACAGCAACACTCCATCCCACTCTGCCTTTTTCTAGTCCCAATCATGAAGGCGTCCGATCTCCTATCGCTGGATAAACAGTTCTCATTCTACAGGTCGTATCACACCAACAGCATCAACAAGCGCATCCACATCGTCTTCGTTCCGATACTTCTCATCACTGCCCTCTCTCTCCTCTCCAGCTTCCAGCTCCCCCCGCCCTTCGTTGATATGTCCCGCGTCGTCACCCTTTTCTACATCCTCTACTGCCTGGTGCTCTCCCCCAAACTGGGCCTGCTCTACACCCCCTTCCTCCTTCTCTTCTACGCCGTCTCACGCGCCTTCTGCAACTACGCAGGCCCGGACGCCACCGTGCCGTGGGCCCTCGCCTTTCATTTCATCGCCTGGTTTGCCCAGATTGTTGGCCACTACGTTTTCGAGGGCAAGAGTCCGGCCTTTATGGACTCGCTGTTCCAGTCCCTCTTGGCCGCCCCGATCGTGATATGGTTAGAAGTTGTATTTTCCCTCGGCTTCATGCCGGAAACTAAAGCCCGTCTGCAAAGGGCCCGCGTAGTCGCCAAAGCGCGCAAAGCGGTGGCGAAAAATTAGAATGCAAGTTTGTGTGACTTCGGTTTAGTCGCGGTGCCGCACAGTAAAAGAGCGGGACCAGCCCTCGACTGGCTCGCTTGCGAAGCTGGCACCAAAAGCGAGTCGCATGCGCGGGCAGCCACGCGGACGGCTTGCGTTACCTCCCCATCGAGGAGTGAAACGCAGACATTCGCGCGGGCCGAGAGGTGTGTCTGCGCAGCGGTATCCGGGTACTAGATACGAGCAGTGACGTGCGCATGTCGAGAGATGTGTGCGCTTGTGTCACTTGCTTCAGAATTCTCGGGGACAAGGTGCTTTCACCCTGCCTTCAGAGAAGGGCGCAGGTTGCGGAGGGCACTGAATTTTATGGTTCTGGTTTGATTGTGTGAATGCGTGTTAACATCTGTTTCGGTTGCAACTCCATCCATGCTTTGTTTATGAATTGCATGAATGTTGCATGGACTTGGACGTGCTAGGAGAAGTGGTAGAAGGCTGTGTGGTCTCAGAGAGTGTCGTGAAAGCAGTTTTGAGTTGTACGAACAGCGATAGGTATGTCGGCCGAAGCTGGGACTGCTTGATCTTTCGACTTGCATGCGATTTTCCTTTTATTGGGTGCATTCCTTGAAGACGTGCTACGCGTGGCACATTTGGAACGTAAAGTTATAGATGTAGCCCCTCGCTAGGTTCTGGAGCCGCGGGAGAGACGGCACAAACACTGAATACTGTACTGATGAGAGCGTTTGAAGCAGGCTCCCAATAAAAAGGACTAAAGGGAACACTAAAGCGAGTCAATGGCTCCCTCTCTGAAATTCAAAATTTCAAAAACAGTTGCCCACCTGAAGACGAATCTGATACGCATGCTTTCTTCGTGCACGTACTCGGCTATTCTCACTGCTAAGGCACTTTGCAGCACTAATTACTCGCAGACAGTTCCTCCCGCCATCACGACACGTTTCCGGATATCTCGTCTGATCGCCGCCGCGCAGCCTCGCCGCCGCGGACGTATCGTTCTTTGTGGAGGGTTGTGACAGCGAGCCCATCTTCACCATAACGGCTCCCGCGCCTCTACACCGGCGACTCCCATTCTTGCGAGGCTTTTTAAGTTTGGTCAACACCTTGTCGCTTCCTGTATCCCTGAATCCACAACTTTGTCGCGAACAGATTCAGACGTCTGCAGCAACCCAACGCTGCAGTTCCTTCCAGGCCAAAGTCGTCACCGCAACGCGAGCTGTTGCTAAGGCTCCGACACAAAAAGGACAATGGGCATGCTAGAATGCTGTCGTATCGTTCTCTACCTAGTGGAGTGGATCTGGACCACTTCGATCATGGGCGTCTTTCCTAATCGACTCGTCTCAACAGTTGAGCTAGGCTCAGGCAAGTCGGAAAAAGCGTGTCTTTTCAATCTGCGGCTTGGGCTGAGCAGATGCAATTACGGGGTAAGTTGTTGGACTCTTTGTGTCTTTGCCGCCGACAGCGACAGCGACCTTGCGACAGCAGCTGGACGTCTCTCTACTAGGTCGGTGCTCGTCACGTAGCGCATATTTGACTAACGCAGTTTATGCCGCCTGTTTTATATGCGGTTTGTACATGCAGCTGACTTGGGCAACTATAGCCTTTATCGTTCTGACCATCACCATTATCTGGTATACACTTGAGTACTGCTCCACAATCCAGCTCCCTCCGAACGTCGAATTTGTAATCTTCTCTTGGCTCACAATTTGGTGGGTAAGTTGGGACTTTCCAAACGACAACTTTGCCCCTGAGCACATGACCTGTCTCTTGGTTCTAACTCGTGCGCATGTAATGTTTTGACCCCAGTTTGTCGGCAGCATCGTCCTGACAGCGACGAAAGCGTCGGATGCGCCAGGTCCAGCCACCGTGCCAGTCGTGTTCGCGTGGATGCTGGCCATCCTCAGCGGTTGCTCCGCTTTCATCGGCAGCCGCGGCCCGAAACAAGTAGAGTATCGCATGTCCGAAACGGAAGGAGAAGAGTCTGGCTACTCGAGCCGAGCATATTAGCGGCACCTTTCAACCCAGTTAAGACTATTTATTGCATCGCTTTCCGGGAAACGTAGACTTGTTTTGCCAATCTTCATTCAATCGTCCGTAATATTACAAAGCATGGCAGTCCGTGGCATCATCAATCGACACCCTGTTCAAAATCGGCGAGACAAGCAACCGCTATCTCGAGCCCCAACACCACTCATTCGGTATCGTCGAGTACAATTTTGCGATCGTCCTTTGTCGTCCTCTGCTTATCGCCAAAGTTCTGCACCACGACGTGGCTCTTCCTTTTCGACATGTTGCGACAAGCCCTGATAACCACACGATCCCCCTCCCTACAGAGATCGAACTCATCATGCGCCATAAACCGCCTCGTCTTCAAGTACGGCATGCGGATCTTCGTCGAGTAGGCTGACCGTCTAGCCGCGATGACGACGCTCTTGTTCATCTTATCGGACACCACAACCCCCTCCATCGTGAGCTGCGACGGCCGGTAGGAGGCGTTGGTGACGCGTCGCAAACGTTCCCGCAGTTCTGTGTCCTCGTCTGTTTTGCGTATCAGGCCGCCGTACGCTTGAAGAGCCTTGCGCACCATGCCGTTGGACAGGCCCTGAAGCACTTCGTCCGAGGCGCCATAGAAGGGGAGTGTGTACGTCGGTTTCGGTTGCGTGACGTAGGCAGGGCGTTCCTCTGATGCGGCCGAGGCTTGGCATAGTCGCCGTAGAGTGGAGCTCAACCGGGGTTGAATACTCGCTGCGACGGATCGCTGTTGCGATAGGCGCAGCATGCCTGACGTCTTGGCCTAGGCTAGATGCTTTCAATTGCCTCCGCACAGCTAGCGGAGATCCGTCCAAGCCTTCCGATTCTGAGCCTTGTGGTTCTGAACAGATATTCGACGTGATTCTTCACAACACGTCCTGAACGAAGGTGACGGTAGAGGACTACTAGTGTGGGAAGATAGAAATTGCACTTTATTTGGTTAGCCCTAAATCTGGGAAAAAGGGAAATTATCCGTTCGACGCGCCGGCGGGAAATCCGGATAGATAAAAATCCGAGGGCGGTATCCCGACCGACCCTCGGGGGTAACTTGCTACCCTCCGACAGCGCCGGCGAAAAGTCTCGAGACTCGACATCCGAAGTATCCCCATCCCCCTCGCTCTCGCGACTCCTTTCCCCCGCCGCTGCGTGCGACGAGCGCGGCTACTACTAACCTCATCGTTCCCGTTCTCCCACAGTTATGGGCCCAGGGGGAAAGATGAGTAAATTATCAGGATTCTTCGACCCGCCTCTCTTCGCCGCCGATGGCGATCTTGAAGCCTGGCGCAAGAAGGTTGGACAGTGGGTCGACTCACTTAAAGTCGCCCACGACCAAGGCACCGATCGCACTTTTCAGACGATGTTCAAGCTCCTCGGACGAACGCTCTATGAGCGCGGCCTTCCGGAAGCTCAGAAGGCAATCGTCGATGAAGCCCAGTCCAAAGGACAGCTCGACTACCTTCAGATGGATGATCCCGTGCAAGCGGCACTCTCCATCGTCGAGCTTGTCGCTGTAGACCCACCGATTGCCATGGTCACAAGGCTCATCGCATCATACCAGAAGGTCACCTCGTGTCGCCGAGACAGGAACGAGAAGCTCTCCAGCTTCGTCTCGAGGTTCCGAGGTTTGGCAGCCAAGCACTTGCTGCACGCCAACACTTCTTCTTCTTCGCAGATAGGTGAAGTTTTGGCGATTACCCTCCTCAATAACGCAAACATAGAGGAGGGAACGTTAACCAATGCCAAGCTCCAACTAATAAAGATGCAGAAGCCCGAAACAAGGAGGAGTCGGCAGTCGTCGACACCGAAAAGGTATCCAAGGTGCATCTCGAGGAAGTCCTCAAGATATCCGAGAAGCTGAAGAAGGTTGACGTTCCACTCCGCGAGTCAGAGTCCACGGCCGATGATTACAAGAAGGCTCTGTCCGACTTCAGATCGCAAACAATCAGCTTCATCCGCTCCTTGGACATTGCAGTCCAAGACCTAAAGGTGACTGCAGAGAATAATGCTGCGAAGACGTCAGTGGCAGACTCTTTCCTGCCGCGGCATACTTCTTGCAGGCTCAACCTTGACGACGCGGTGATCGTGCTGAGGAATCTGACCCAGACAACGTCAATGGATGCTCCTCAGTTCTCCATGAAGGACGTCCAAGCCTTAGTTGACCGCAAGGTCAAGTCTCTCATTGGCACCCATGGCAAGCCTGGCCCTGCAAGCATCTTCGACAGACTCTCTGAAGTCGGCTCGCGTCACGGGCAGAAGAAGGACACTCGAATGGGTCCACCCTCTAGCCGTCGTAACGCATCTCGAGGCAATCGCAAGAGGCAGCTGCCTTCTGATCACGAGACCCAGTCCATTTGCTATGACTGCGGAGAGCGTGGTCACTACAGAGGGGCAGCAGAGTGCAAAGAACCTAGCGCCTTCACTAAGAAAAAGAGGACGCGCCGAGACCCCAGTGACGGCGGCTCCGGGGCACATCCCTCGTTTTTTCGGAGAGGCTCCGGCGGCTCGTCAAACAGGCAAGCCTAGTCAGCCATCCCGGAGCCTCCTCGGATATCAATCCGAGAATCCCGGATCCAAATCCCATTATTGATCCGGGATGTCCCAGAAGTGTTGGAGGAATTTCTTGCGCCGCAGCCCTCTGCACTGCCATGAACATTCCGTTCAAACTTCGAAGGCTAGACTGTGAACCGTTCTTGCACGGATATGGCAAGAATTGTAGCGACGCCGAGGTCACTATTGGAGTTTGGGACCTTCCTGTGACCGACATGAGTGGAACGGAAGTCAAAATTCCGTTCTACGTTACGAGAGGAGATGGATTCCTTCTTCTGGGTAACGAAATCCTTCACCGTTCGTACCAGCTTGGACCGGAGAACCTTTTGGTTATTCCAAAAGGAGTGAGACACCTCTCGTCAAAACGTCTCACGTTCAAGACATACACCGAACCAACAATGTCGAGTGACCCCGATGCGGTTCGCACATTTCTTCTCGTCGTTCCGTCGAAAACATCCTCCTTTGTGACGTTCTTCTCCACGGAAGTCTCATATGCGTCCACTATCCCGCCGGCAGAAACCATGAAGGCAAGGTTTCGATATGGCAGAATCGCCGGTCGCTTTGCCAACAAGCTTCATGGATATTCACACCTTGCCCTTCAAGACATGGAGACGCTGTGTCGTCGAGGAGGGGTTATGACTCCTGTGCTAAAACAAGCGCTTCAGAGAGCCGTCGAGAAGTGCACTAGCTGCAAAGAAACAGGCCGCCCACTCCAATCACGGAAGATATCCTTTGGGAAAATACTCGCCTCGTTCAACAACCATGTCCAACTCGACTTCTTCTTCTGTGCGGAGTTCGAGAACGCCCCCATCTTACATATGGTGGATGTCCATACGGGTTATTCAGTAGCATCCCTGATGCGGACCCGTGAGATGGACGAAGCAGCTCGGCAATTGGAAGTCGCATGGGTAAACGTTCACGGTGCACCGTCAATCATATCGGGAGATATCGAGTTCTTCAACTCCCGTTTTGCCGACGCCCTAAGGTACTTCTCAATACGTTTTGAACCCCGTCCAGCCCGACGTCATAACAAACTCGGCGTCGTGGAGCGGAAGAATGCGGTTGTCCGTGTGCTTATCCAACGTCTTCTAAAGGATGCATCAAACTCCTCGGCGTGCAGTGTTGACTCAGTTAAAAGGAAAGACGTGGTCTCACGTGCCGTGTATCTGAGCAACATCTTATATGGAAGCAAGTCACTGAGCAGCTTCGAGATGACTCGGGGTTACACCCCCTCGCTTGTTGGTCTCCCTCAAGCAAAGCTGTCCGCTGATCTCATCACTGCGCATAACGAGCAAGTGGCACGAAGAGCTTTGAGGCTCCTGGACAAGTCGCGATGTCCACAAGCGCTTCAAGCCGCCCAGTTATCACGTGATGACCCTGTGTATTTCTTCAAGAGAGGCCCAAAGTTTGGCTCGTGGGAACACGCGTACGTGCGGAACCCACAGCCCCACTTCGTCGTCCTTTCAAGGCGTCAGGATCACATTGGTAAGCCCATAAGAGCGGCATACGAGGACGTTCGGAAAGCTCCGTCCTCCCCTCTACTTGCCGAGTTGGATGACATGGACTTCGTATTCCCACGGTCGTACTCCGTCATTGATGAGGACTTTGAAGAAGGTATGTTCCCTCCAACATCGGCACCCCCTCCGCTCTTCTCGGAGTTGGAAGAGATGCCGAATGTGAGTGACAAGTCGCCTCCAAGCAGACCGGAAGAGTCTGCAGGGCAGCAGGAGGCGGCGAATGTAGACAGCCTTCCTGACTTGGAGCCCCCCGGCGATCTGACGGACATCTCTGAGTTCTGGACCGAAGAGGCTCTGTGGGCTTCCCACCCCATATCAAAGAGCTTATTAGCATCCTCAAAGCCGAAGAGGTTGAACAACCCTTTGTTGGACGTCAACACAAGGTCCATCGGTCGTTGCAATTCCTTGTTTGGAACACGGTATCCAGTCTCAACTTCGAGTAGCACTCTCGATTTGAACTCAACTCATGAGCCCCCACAGCCGGAAAAAGACATCAAAACCACAGACGTTGTAGCTCCGTCGAGCCTGCCTTTTCATCTTGCATCGTCGAAGCAAAAGGTCCTTCAACAAATTCAGGAAGTGGTTGGGAACAAGCCCACCTCTGAATTCAAACTCCAATTTGCTCTGCGATGGATAGTTGATCAGGCCATAGCTGAGGAGAAAGAAAACTTCGCACAAGCCGAGGCATACAAGGAAGTCCCGTATGGGGATCTCCCACGACATGCCAATGTGATTTCTTCCCACCACTTCTTCCAAGTCAAGACCGACGGAGAAGGAGGAAAGCTGAAGCTAAAGTGTCGTCTTGTCCCACACGGGAACCGGGATCGAGACAAAGAATTCGTCCGGAAAGACTCGGCGACAGCGCAGTTCCCAATAATTCGCATCGTTCTCTCTGTCGCGGCAATAATGTCTTTCTCAGTTGCCTCCATTGACATCAAAGGAGCATACTTGCAAGCTGGCCACTTTCCCCGGGACATATACGTCCGACCCCCGAAAGGTTGGGTATCTTCTGCTCGAACAGTCTGGAAGATACTCAAGCCGGCCTATGGAATTGTAGAATCCGGACGCCTATGGCAACTCGTCGCCGAGGAATGGATGTCCACGCAAGGGTTCATACAAGTCCCAGGCCTTCTCCAGCTCTTCGCCAAATACAATGCGGAGGGATCGATAAACCTACTGGTCGCAAAGGTCGTCGATGACTTCCTCGTGGTTGGCGTTCTTCCTAACATCCATCAATTTCACGAAGCTATCTCTCGCCGGTTCATTGTCGGACGCTACGTCGTGAACAAGGACTTGATCTTCAATCGTCTTCATATCCACCAGGAGCCTTCCGGCTCTTTAAGTATTAATACGCAAGAGTACGTGGACAAAATTCTTCCGATCGAAGTCTCAAAGGAAAGAAGAAGACGACACCAAGACAAGTGCACCGCTCCAGAGTTGACTTCATACCAAGCTCTCGCCGGAAGTCTCAATTTCCTCGGACATGGCATTCTCCCGCAAGCGGCTTTCGCAGCCAGCTACCTTCAGCAAGCCGTTGGGCGCTTGAAGGTGGCCGATCTTATAAACGGGAACAAGTTGCTTGTGGAGATCAAAGCGCTTTCCCCGACGCTCCTATTTCGAACGCCGTCATCTCTCGTCAATCCTTCCTACCTCGCTTTTTCTGATGCCAGTCAAGGTAGCTCCTCATACGGGCAGACAGGGTACGTCTCCGGCCTATACCTGCCAGCAGGGGGTGCGGGGATCTACCACGTCCTTGACTGGATCAGTTGCAAGCAGAAGCGTGTTGCCTTTTCATCCATGGGGGCAGAGATTCTTGCCGCCGCAACGTCATCAGACCGAGGCTCGCTAATGGCAGAGAGCCTGCAAACTCTTCACAAAGCCCCAGTCAAGCTTCCCTTCGTGCTGACGGTGGACTCACACGGGTTGTACTCCACCGTGACCACCCTTCACGAAGGTGCAGACTACCGCTTGAGGCCGACGGTAGCAAGGATGAGGGATTCCTTCGAAAACGGGGAAATTTCAGTAATGCAATGGGTAAGCGGTACGCAAAACCCTGCCGATGCATTAACCAAGAGGAACGTAGAAATGTTCAAGATCCTCAATGGAATCATGCAGAAAGGTCTTCTAGAAGATGAGGTTCTTCAAGGCTCAAGGCGGATCAAAAGAGCATCGAGCATGCCAATGTAACTCTCGAACTCGTTTAATCGCTGTCGTCTTCCACTACCCTCATCCTCTTAGTCCTTCTACCAGCCAAATCATTGTTCATGTGATTCTTCTTTGTCTTCCTGCTTTCGCTGCGCTGTTTTCCAGACTTCCTGCGATTCTTCTTCCCTTTCCCGACTGGCTGCAATTCAAGCTTCCGAACTTCAGCAATTTCAAAGCCATCGCAACCAATTCCAAGGCATGCACCCAGCACTCCGGGGCGATTATCAAGCGCAAAGCGCTCAACCGGATCTAGAACGTGGCCTTTTTGGGCGTCAAGAACCACCACGTGGTCTAAACGTTCACCTAGGTCATCCAGAGCGACGATTCTTATCAAGAAAGTGCCGTCCACCCTGTTGACCATCCACTCCGCAAGACTTTCCAGCACGGGGACGCTGCATTTCTTGAGGCGATACCTCCCGAGATGCTTTTCATTCCAGGTCTGTAACTCTGCAAGGCTTCGAGCGTTGATGGGTCCTTTGCGGAGCATTCCAAGTGCCGGATCTTCCCCTACAACGGAGTGTAGTGCGTTAGCGAAGGAAGCACGCACGCACTCGCTGTGTGTTGCGCGGCAGAAGAGTGCCTGGTGCGTACGATAAGGCCTAGTGAGTCCAGTGGCTTCGCGATGCCCGGGACCCCCAATAACAACGAAATCGTCTTGATGACTGGTACAGTACTCGTCCAGCCATTCCAAGGCCTGTGCTGTCTTCCGAGTACCAAAGACGAGCTCAACTTCGCAGTTCCCCTGGCCACCCGGACAAGTCACTTCCATGTCGCTGGTAACTGGGCTTCCTGCCGAATCGAATACGGACAACACGCTGGCCTGGAGAGTATAGAAGTCCACTTTCCAAAAGGTCTTGCGCCCGCCTACGCTCCGATGTGAAGCGTAGTACTGACCCGGGCGGAAGCCGTGAGTCCTTCCGGAAGCCATCACCGCCCTTCGAACCTCCCAGCGGCGCTGCTCGTGCTCCGACACGCCCATTGCGTTAAGCAAGCCCCATCTCTCCAACAACGCAACCTCAAACATCCTCCCTCTCCTATCCGACAGCCAACGTAGAAGAACCTTAGATGTTTCCGTCCCGATGCTCAGCCTCTGAGCAATCCTCTCCCGACTGAAGGTGAATTCGAGGCCCCGGGCCACGACGAGGACTTCGCTAGACCTCCACTTTCCTCCGAGCCACGCCATCATCTCGACCGCAAGCCTCCCCTTACCCTCCACGAGCCACAGGCCTGCCATCACGCAAGGAAGCGCACGACCCCCGATCCCTGGCCTGCCGGCACTCTTTAGGTTCGAGGAGGTCGCGCGCTGACTCGCGGAGGAAACGGCCCGTCGTTGGTGGAAGCTCGGAGGTGGGGATGCAACGGCGCGCGGGAGTGATGGCGGAGAAGCGGAGCGGCGATGTGCCGGAGAAGCGGAGCGGCGATGTGCCGGAGAAGCGGAGCGGTGATGTGCCGGAGAAGCGGAGCGGTGACGTGGTGTGAGAAGCGGAGCAGCGATGCGGTGCGCGAGATCGAGCGGACGCCGAACTGAGCCAGTGTATAGTGAGGGCTGTCGGTGGGCGAGCGCATGTGGTGACTACCGGAAGCTGCGGGTCCGCGGTGGATTTGGGGGTCTGAAAGGGCGCGGCGAGAGAAAGGGGGATAACTCAAGATGCAAGCGCCCTTACCCTACGCAATCCAGAAGGCCGCGTGGTCAGGACAAGGGATCCAGTACCGAGCAGCGGCGGCGCGGCGTCAGATCCATATAGGGTTGGCGCCGACGGCGGATCGGCCGGCGCCGCGTGCCCCAATTTTAGGGCCAACAGGGGGTGTGTGGGAAGATAGAAATTGCACTTTATTTGGTTAGCCCTAAATCTGGGAAAAAGGGAAATTATCCGTTCGACGCGCCGGCGGGAAATCCGGATAGATAAAAATCCGAGGGCGGTATCCCGACCGACCCTCGGGGGTAACTTGCTACCCTCCGACAGCGCCGGCGAAAAGTCTCGAGACTCGACATCCGAAGTATCCCCATCCCCCTCGCTCTCGCGACTCCTTTCCCCCGCCGCTGCGTGCGACGAGCGCGGCTACTACTAACCTCATCGTTCCCGTTCTCCCACAACTAGACTACTCTGTACCACATGAATAAATCGTGGATGTTGTTTGGGCAGTAACAGACCCCATCGGGAACATGGAAACGGATCACCCTGAAAATTATATGATGTGGCGCATATTTCGGCGAAAATGTGCCACCTTTTAAACTGCCTTCTCCTTATTCTTCTCTCTTGCCGCGGTACAGCAAATTGACGAAAGACCGTCTCGGTCATTGTCACAGTCATCCCATTTCCTGGGAACGGAGCAATGCTTTCGAGAACGGAGGGGCGCATTCATCGCTCAGAAGCAGTTTGCCACGGACCCCTTCAAAAGTACTCGTAGATCGTCTGGGCGCCCCTACGGCATACAAGCAAACACAAAATGATAAAAGTTAGCTCCCCTAAGGAATACATTTATGAGAATACGATACAAGCGCGTTGCTACCGGCGCGGCCCTCACCGGCCAACATAAAAGATAAAGATCACACCGGCGCCCACCGCCGCATGCGCCCCGACAGCGATTAATCTCACAAAGTAAGTCAAAGACTTGTGCTCGATGCTGACATCTCTCCAGAGATTGAGGACGATAACGGCGGCGCCGATCGAAAACGCGACGCACATGGCAATGATCTGCACCATTTCAATCGGAATGGTTGCGACAAGGGCAGCAACAACAACGGGGACCAAAGAATAGCCGTACACCATGACGGTGCCAAGGACGGGATGAGCCCTCTCCCCCAGGGCGCGCTTCGCAAAGAGGCACTGAAATACGGTCAAGATGACGGGAAAGACAAAGACGTAACCATAGAGCAAGCTCGCGGCCTTCCAGAGCCTGGAAAACTCGAGCGACTCGATGCTCGGTTTGAGCTGCGTCTCCTTCTTGCGGAAGACGTTTGCCAAAAACTCGGCCATCTTCGAGCCCATGGAGAGCGCGAGCACGAGCGTGGTGGTGACCCACACGGGCCCGTACAGGTCAGGGACAGAGGTGCCGCCCTCGAGCTCCTCGTCGGAGTCGGCCCAGCCGAGCAGCGGCTTGCATGGCAGGAAGGCGCGGAACAGGCGTGACGCCAGGTCGGAGATGGTGATGTCGAAATAGGCGGCATAGAAGCGCGGCTGCCAAAAGCGCGGCTCGGATCGAGTGCCCGTCGGCTCCGACTCCCAGTTGCCCGTTTCCGCGCCGTCTTCGTCGACGTTGGCGTCGTATAGCTCAAAGGGGTTGGCGGACGACTTGGATGGTGGGGCCGGCGTGGCGACGTAGCCGCCAGGCGCGGTGGTGACCGGGGCGTAAGACGCCTCGAACGGATTAGCTGCGGCCGGTTGGCGCGGGATGCGGAAGGAGGAGGCGGTCATGGCGCGGTACTAACTGTACGACTTGTAGGTTGTCGAAGATTGACTTCGATGAAACGTCTGCGGGTTGATGGAGACATGAGCTGTTGCTCGGATTCCTCTCTGGCGAGTGTAAGGAGAAGAATACATTACAGTAATATGTTAGTGTAAGCACCATTAGCGCTGTGTAAAGTTTACACTGTAAACTTCTACGTGTACACTGTAAGTATCACACAAGTACGTAGTGCTTACACTAAAACTACTGTATACTGTAATGATAATGCATGACATTACAGAAGGAGAACAGCGCGATCTCATGATAGAGAGTGACAAAGACGGAATGGATATGGCTTCCGTTGGAGTGACCCAGCGTCCTCCTCAAACGTACAGGAGCTCGCAGATCTTTCTCGTCTTCTCGTCGCCCCGTGCTTGTTTCCATCCTTTCGTCTCGCCCCCCCCGTCGTTCCACACCACCATGCCTCTGCCGGCCTTCCTGCCGTCCCCGTTCGCGTCGGCGACGCGGCGCCCGCGCCCGCGCTTGCCGCGCGTGTGCCCACGCATGTCGAGCCGGCCGCCGCTGCAGGAGCGGGTGCTGCGCTTAGAGCGCGCGCTGGCGGCCGCCGTGCTGCAGGAGCGCTACACGGACGCGGCGTCGCTGCGCGACGCGCTGGTCGCCGCGCGCCACGCGGACCCGGTCCTCGCCAAGCGCGCGGAGCTCGCGCTCGCAGTCGAGAACCAGGACTTCCTCTCCGCCGCCCGCCTCCGCGACGACCTCGCCACCCTCACAGAGCGCTTCTCCCGCTCCGGCGCGGGCAGAAGAGTCGACCGCATTATCGTCCTTAGGGGGAGGGGCGACCCGGATAACGCCCTCCGAGTCGCCACTGTGTCCAGGGAGGGCGATTTGCAGCTCGGCCTTGTGCCTACCGCCCCGCCAAGGAGGCACACCCCGCCGCGAGTTTACTTGCAGCCGACGTGGAGCCCGTCAGGCGACTTTGTCGCCATGACAGAGATTTCTTTTGATTTGGACAACCCCCGCCTCGGGCGAGGTGTTGCTATTGCGGATAGCGCCAGCCGCGTCGTCATCATGAACGCGTTTGACGGCTCCGTTGTCAAGAGCGCCCCGCTGCTGAAGCCCCCCTTTTTTTACTATTGGAGCCCCGACGGCCGCTGCGTCACCTTGCTGTCTAACGACCCCACCGCCCCGGTCACCACTGTCGCGCTATCCGTGCTCCAGGTCGTCGCTCCCCCCGGCGCTAGCGGCCTGGATATGGAAGTCGTGACTGGGCCTCTTGCGTCTGGCCATCCCTTCTTGTTTGATTTTTGTCCGCGTGATTCGGGCAGAGTTGTCGCCCATATGGGCGACAAGAGTGCAGTCGCTGTCGTCCCCGTTGCACAGTACGATCGCACTTATCAATATTTGACGAAGAGCGCGGGAGCATTTGGCGCCCCGCAGTGGCATCCCAACCCAGGGAAGGACGGACGAGAAGTTGTCTTGTATGTGGAGCACGACTCTGTGGCCAAGGAGGGCAAGCAAGTGTATATGGGCGTAGAGATTGTTGACGATGCCGAGGGGGACGTTACAATCGTGAAGATTGAGGAGGAGGAGGAGGGCAAGGACGGGACAGGCGTGAGTATTGAATCCCTGCTTAGTACTGGGGGTACCTTGTTGCATGACGTACTGAGGAAGGGCGCGGAGAGCCTTGGCTTGGCGCCGCCCACGAATGATAACAAGGGCGACAAGGCGGAGATGAAGGAGGGGACGGCTGACGAGGAGGGAGATTCTGACAAGGATGAGGCACTCACGGAGCGCTTTCGAAGATTGCTGCCAAAGAAGCCCTCGTCGAAACAAAAAGAAGACGAAGATGAGAAGGATGAAGAAGAGTGGACCATTGGCGTGCTGCAGGACCAGATAATCAGCCGGTTGGTCATGGTTGATGTCGACAACCCAAAGAAGAAACGGACTCTTGCGAGGTTTTCAGGCGTCATGGCGTTCAAGTTGTCTCCCGACGGTACGGCGCTGGCGACCTTGGTCACGAACCCTGCTACGGGTCTGGATGAGCTTACGCTTTGCACAGGAGATTTTTGTCCAGACTCAGTTGAGAACGACGTCAATGCGTTTGGCTTTCGGCCCCCTCGCCAAACAGATAATGATGCTGACATCATTTTGAGCACTCCGAAAACCCGCGTTTTGGCATTCTTTTGGAGCCCAGACGGTAGGAAGCTTCTCTTCCTGACGTCGCTGCGAAGCAGCCGGGTCGGGGCCGCGCAATGGGCTACCTTTGACAGAGACACCAACAGAGTCGTCCGGTACGAAAAGTTTGTCATTTCTGGGATTTACATGCACTGCCTTAACTTTTTTGACCAGTTTGGGGCCTCCATGACTCCGTGGTCGCCAGATTCGGATGCCTTTTGTTACCCTGGTCGAGCTCTGACCGAATCAGAATTGGAACGCGAGAAGAGCCCGTCAGGCCGCAGTTCGCCAGCGCTTTCTGCATTGTTTACGCAACGCGACAGCCCATCGGACGGAAAAAGATTCAGCGCTCGTGTACAAAACTTGCCCCTGACGGCAGATGGCAAAGCGGGACCGGATGAACCGATCACTATTGTGGAAAATGTTGAATACGCATGCTGGAGCCCATGCTAGCGCCCTTTTGGCTTTCTGCCAGGCCTTTCACCCTCTAGAAGCCCAAGAAAGAAGAAGAAGAAGAAGAAGAAGATGGATGCACATCCGCGAAACGAGTTTTTGAACTCCTTGTCAATGTGCAGGCAAAATAGATGTTTGGGTGGGTAAACGGAATGATACAAGTTTTACAGTATATACTTATCAAGGTTTTTTCCTCTCCAAAAGCGCTTTTGTCTGTGCGTGCCAAGACGAAATGTTGCCATGACACTCGTGTAGAAAAAATTGGTACCTTGATTTTTTTTTCTCCCACGCTGCAAATCAATCGCGTCATGCGACGGCAAGAAGCAAGACAAAGGTACAGACTTTTTTTATGTTTCGAAAGCCACAAAAAAAACTCATGTCGGCGATTGTTTGTTTGTTTGTTTCTTTAAACACAAGTCCCGCAGGAGAGGAACCCAGCCAATATCAAAGACAGTTCCGGATACGCCTCCAAATAGGTGGATGACTGCGCGAGGCAGCCGATAAATAAGCGCTCGATGCGCCTTGAAAGAGTTGTTACAGTTTGGTTCAATTGTTGGGATTGGAAGGGAGTTAGATGACTGGGGCTGGAGACTCCATGTTGGGCAACGTAAACAGCAATCGTTAAGGCAGCTGCCCTGTCATCGAGTCGGTGTACGGGTTCCCCTGCTGGCAACGCGGTTGCCCCCCAGGCTGCTGCCATGCGTTGTAGGCTAGGTTTTGTAAACATGTCGCGGACCGTCGTCGCATACTTGTGGCCGACAAGAACGGACCAGTTTTCTTTCGCCAAAAGCGGGGTATCCAGAATGGTGGGGACTGGATTGCGCAGGGAGGTTGATACGGTTTCTTGGATGTCCTTTGTCGGGGCGAGTTGGCGAAATTGTGCCTGCATTAATTGGCGGCGATGCTCGGGGACGTGTGCCGGATCCACATCGCAAGCCAGATCATCCATTAGGATGCGGGGCTGGTCATGCTTACCATGCCTCGACGACTTTTTCGTCCATCTGAGCAAGTCCTGAGAAATGGCCTTCTCCGTCGCGCTCTCATCAAAGCCCTTTAGGATCGCGGTGACGTTGACACTGGGCTGCCGATCGGTAATGGAGACGGACGGTTGCACCGGGTTTGCCTTGTCGGACCACGTAGAGATGATCTCTTCTTCCCTCGCGTCGAAAACGGAGGAGAACTTGCATGAGCACTCGGCGTCCGGGAAGCGCCACAAGCCTTGCAACCGCCAGCCGCGATACGGCAACGGCGGCCAGACGTAGGAGCTGTCTGCAATCTCCGCGGACGCCTGCGTCAAGCGCGCGCCCGTGGCGGCCTGGTTACTGGTGGCGTACGCGAGCAGCCGGGACGCGCACCCTCCTCGAAACGTGAGCACCACCTCTGCGTAGTGTTCCGGAAAAGCTACCTTTGTGATGAGTTCCTTGTAAAAATCGAGGGTGAGCGACTTTGGCAAAAACTGCACGCCGTAGCGGTGCAGGATGAGGCGGACGGCGCGCTTGGCCACGTCGAGCGCGTCGGCGTCGGACACGAGCGACGACACGGCGGTGACGTCGTTGGCCGCCGTGACCTCGAAGACGCGGCCGGGGCCCTTGGTACCCTGAAAGTAGGCGCTGTTCTTGTGCGAGAAGACCGGCTGGACGTTCCAAAGTGTGTGGAGTGAGTGGGCACTCCACACGGGGATATGGAAGCGGGTGAGCAGCAGGCGGTTGCGCTGGATCTCGACTGCGGCCGCGTGCGGGTTCTCCGGCGGCAGCAGGCTGGTGGTGCGCTGGTTGACAACGCGCAGGGAGGCCGAGTGGGCAATGTGCTCCACCTTGTTATAGTCGAAGCGGGTAAAGTTGCGGATGGAGGCGAGACGCTGCGCAAGGTCCGAGTCGTCCCAGCCGTACGTGGTGATCCTCTCGTCATACCCGCCGACAGCCAGAAAGTCGTCGCGATGGACGTACAACAAGCCGTTGACATGCAGGGCATCATCAGTGGGGGTGTTGTTGTCTAGCTGCTTCCAATCGCCGGCGTAAAACGAGTCCCTCTTCAACGGATGGGCCTCGATAAAGTCGGGTCGCAAAAAGGTATCGCAATCCACCTTGATCAGCTTGGAATACGACGCGAGCCTCGCCGCCAAGTTGTAGGCCCTCGACAGGACCCAGTCTGTTTGCCCCACAACCCTGACCAAGGTAAAGCGCTCGCCATCCAGGAGCTCCTTGCTGGTAAAGTAAGAAATCGGGGGATCCGAGCTCCAATCGACCAACAGGACCTCATGCACTCCCCTAACGGCGGTCCAGCTCTTGACGGCCTTGGCGAGCGTACTCGCGCGATCCTTACACGCGGCAATAAGCGTGACGCCTTCCTTCAACCACCACTCGCCCTCCTGCGCGCCGGGCATCTTTCCGCCGGCCTCCCCCTCCGGCGGGTCCGCCTCGTCCCCCACGACCTCCACAGCGTCCCTGACGACCTGGACGGCGGTCCTCTCCCTGACCTTAACCTCCGCGCGCCTCCTGCCGGCGGCGGCGGCGCCACCGGCGCTGACCTCCGCGGCCCTCTTGACGGCGGCCTCAAACTCGAGCCACGGCTGCCTCCTTCTCCACCACAGATCGCCCTGTCCCGCGTCCTCGCGGATGCCTTCCACGACCTC